TTGAACTGAGACCACTTCCACACATGATTCTCAATACCTGTACGGTTGCTGCGCACGCGTTCAATGGCCTTGGCGCGGTCGGCATCGGATAGCCATCGGGCGTTCATGGGCGAGTCTGGCAGGTAGTAGAAGAGGAAGCCACCGTAGAACATGGTGATGGCACCGAAAATGATGAAGAACCAGGACCAGTTGGGCACGGTAGATGAGTTGATGTGCGCGATGCCATAGCCCAGCAGACCTCCGCAGACCTGGCCGATCGAGTTGCCGAGGTACCAGTATGTGATTCGTAGGGGCTGCTCCTCACGTGTCCACCACTGGGACGAGATGACGATGAATGCTGGGTTGATGCAAGACTCGAGGCAGCCGAGAACGGCACGCACGCTCATCAGTCCGGCGAAGCTCCGGGAGCCGGCAATGCACATCAACACGGCGCCCCACAGGATCGTGGCGATGGAAACGAAGCGGCCGATGGGGAAACGGACAATCAGCCGCGCGACGAAGGGTTGAGAGACCATGTAGGCGAGATAGAACACGGAGCCGGAGGCCCAGCTGTACTGGTTGCCGACGAGGTGCTGTGAAGGAACAGGTCAGCAGGCGGGGGGCATGACAACGAATAGCTGTCCTGGGGAGTCTAACTCACGTTGTCCGTGATAAGACCGAAATTGGCCGAGTAAGACAGAGCATTCTTGTCCACTGCATGATAGGTGAGCGTCGTCCCCTCGAAGGTGACCAGACTAGCAAAAGTGATTCTTACTGAAATTGAGGGTATAAGTGATGATCATCTGGCCACCTCATGGTCAGCATACAATTTCTTTCTGATGTTCCATTCTAGTGCCTGTATCCCCTGCTGGGTAATGCCCTCTGTGTATCACGGCGTACGCTTGCTGCCATCGAGCAGGCAGGCGCGGCTCGAACACGCACCAAGGTATGGTCACCAACATGAATAGGGGCGCCCTTACCAGCGGTAAAAGGTGGCGATCAATCTTGTTCAAGATGCGCCTATTATCGGCCTCGGTAAGAGGGTCTGCATGGTGCTCCTTCGCGAATTGATAGGCCTTGTCGACGTCGTTCAGGGTCACCGATGTACCCTCAGAGACCGGGTCGATGTCGGGCCCGCCTGCTTCCTTCTCCAAGGACCTCTTCTCCGCGTTGGACTGGACCGACATGGCGAGAGACCGGCAGCAGCGACGACAACCAAATCGAGGGTGTTACGTACTCGTGCTGTGGTTGAGTTTCATCATCGAGGTCAATTTATTTGTCCTCAAAGCGGCGAGGTCTGCCGCCGTTTATAGGTGAGTAAGAACTCTCCTCCTCATCTCCTTATCAAAGCGCTAGCCTACAGTGCTCACCTGGTGGCTTTTAGCGTCGGGGATTTAGTATAGTCTCGAGGTTAAGTGTTATCTAAGCGATCGCGTGACGTGATGCCCCGGCTACCGGTCCGAGCCAGATTCTTATTCGGGTTAGTATCAATTCTGCTAGGTGATAACTGGTGCCGCTTATCTCCCTTGCCTCTCTGCCAGTTGCCTTTGCGAGCAACCTGCTCCTTTTGGGTTCCAACCTCAATTACACTTTACGCGCGAGACTGCGCGATAGATGACAGCTCGCTACGACGGGTTAAAGCTGCAAAGTATGGGCAAGACACGCATCACAAGATCCAAAGCAGGTAGCTTGCCTCCTTGATATGAACTGCCTTCTCGGATGACATACCACTCTTCTAACTCAGGCTAGGCTGCCAGCCATGCCGCCGCCGCAAGGTTCGGTGCGATGAGAAGAAACCAAGCTGCTTCGCGTGCCTGCGGCTGGAGCTTACCTGTTCGTATCAGCCTGGCGCCGCTCCAAGCGAAGGCGCCTCGCCGAGTGCATCGCGATACCGCGTACGCTTCGCGACCTCATCCTGCCATGGCCTGCGCTCATCCAGCCGTACTTCGGTGCCTGCCTCGGAAAAGGTCTCAAGTACACCGCCCGCCCAGCGACCATGTGCACCAAGCTTGGAACAAGACATGGCTGGAGAAGTACCCGAAAGCAATGCCTTGGCCGAGACTGCACAGCAATCTCAGGGACGACCAGAAACCTATGCTCTGCCTCCGGATGTTAACCCAACTCTCAATCCGGGCGAAAGCCCCTCGCCCTCGACCATCACTATCGCTGTACCGGACGAGCAGGCAGGGCACATTGGCGGCTCAATGCACCTTGCACCGCAGATGATGGGCGAAGTCGCTCATGCGTACACAGGGATCCTGCCCCTTTTCTTCGACCTTAACATGAACTTTGACGTACCGGGAGAAGAATGGTTAGAAACATTCTCACAAACGCCCGTGGCAGAGCCGGCCTTCTCGGACTCTGTGCCGACGCCGCCATACCTACCTGAGCCCACAGGTTGTAGCACTGCCGAGCAGAGTGCTGTCGTCATCGGAGCTGACGATCACGGCCTCATCCAGCACTATCTCAACGTCATGACACAATACACTAAAGTCCGTGGACCTGGGAACGAGAACATTTACGCACAGATATTCAGCAACATGGCCCTTTTCTACAAGCCGCTTTTTGAGGCGATCATGTCCTGGACTGGGCTGCATCTCGGCCACGCAAGGCGTGACGCCGGCCTAGTCCAAAAGGCCGAGCAACGTTATCTTCATGCCATATCCTTGGTTCATCGGGACCAAGACGTCGCCCATCACTTCGAGCTCTCGCTCGTTACCATTTGGTTTGCTCTCCAGTTTGAGCTGCTAGCAGCTCAAGGCATTGATACCTTCTGTCAGCATCTCCAGTTTACCGCTGACCTGGTCGATGCACACCGCCTCCACCAGAAGGCTGGCGGACAGGCGGTCCCACTGGGTTTGATTGGTGTGCGGGTGCTGATCTGGTTGGGCACATACGACGCACGAGCGTCATGGGTAGGCAAAGCGGGAAGGCTCCTGCAGAGCCTGGAGCTTTATTGCGCCGAGTATGACTTCCTCGAAGCTGCCTTTCTGGACACCCCCTTGGAGTCCCGTTCCAGCGAGTTGTTACCCTTCTTGCGCCTCACCCTAGAGCTTGACACTGTGGAAGGTAAGATCGTGCAGCTGAAACGACGGCCGGTCACACCCCCAGCCGCCCTCTGGGCTGCGGCCCAGTCCAACCTCATGTTGATCCAGGAACGACTGGAGAGCAATGCTACTGTGGCACCGATCCTCTCGTGGATGCTCGGTTCGTCGCGGTCCAGCCCTACCAAGATCACGACGGCCTGCTTCAACTATCTTCTGCTGTTGGCCGCCTGCTACAGTCTCATCATCAGCTTTCACCGCATGGTTCCTGCGACCACCTCGGTCTTGGGACCACCCGGAAAGCTCCTCTCGGCTGAGGCGGCATCGGCTCGCATTGTTCGGATCTCTTCCTGGGTTTGCAAGCTGCGGCCTCCGTCGCCTCAGAACATCTGGCCTAGCATCATGTTCCGTGTTGGCATCGAGACGACAGACTTGGTGCATCAGGAGTGGGCCATCAAGCAGTTCGCCGACGCGGAGCAATGGGGCGCCAATTTTGGCAAGACACGGTTGCTCCTTGAGCATGTCATCAAAAGGCAGAGCCAGGAGGGTGGGAGGGTAGATTTTCTGGATGTCATGAGGCAGACGACAGGATTATTCATTATTTAAGTCAGACGATGTGAATTCAGTGTATTAACTATTGCACATACACGACGGAGGATCGATGGATGGGTTTGGTATGCTGCACACATCAGTGGTCTTAGGTTCACCCTGAGAACACGAAGCTAGTACACATAGCAGGTAGACCTGGAGACCTAGGCAAAAAAAAGGCTCTATACATGAGTAGATTAAGTATCCATGAGCAAGACCACATAGTAACTGTATACAATCATGGCTGTAAGGTCATGATTAGTCATTAGGCGGTCCTGACGGCGTGGCAACCGTCTATAGACACATAATACCTGGTCCTTGCCGCTTCGGCTTCGCAAACGACAACATCCAATTTTCCATGGAACAAAGACTTTTGTAGTTGCCAAACTCGTGGGCGGGCCGGTTCTGCTGCTGCCGTTTGAACCTGTTGAGGGGAGGGAGCTAAAAGTATGCTGGCCGTGCGTGGGTGTGCGAGGGTGCAAGGGGTGTTGGTGACAGTGGCCAAGAGGAAGACTTCTTTCGATGAGAACCCAGTTCAGGTCAACGAGCTAACCCATGTAATTAAACTCAGACTTGGGCGCAACTGGCCCAGTCGGTACGTAGATTGCAGTAAAGATTCATGCTAGCCCAAGTAGCTCAGGTTCCGAGATGGCTTTTGTTTCGAGACCATGTTGGAGTAATTAATTAGCCAGTCGAGAGGACTAGCATGGAACGTGCAAAATTATGCCACTAGAGGCGGGAGCATGAGTTCAGGTGCCGTTGTCTGCCTAGCTACCGATCACAATGACTGAGACTCAAGATGCCTCGCCATTCTGCGTCATGTCACTAGTCACTGGGTGGTGGCTCTCTAGCCGTAGCAGGTTAATTATCTCGCAGGCGATCTTGCAAGGCCAGTCACTCGGCCACTGCGCAGTCAATTCTGGACCTGCCGCGATTGCCCGGGACGCGCTAGTTCAACAACAGTATTGGGGTTGCTCTGGCTGTAGGATTGACTGCGCTGCTGGCCTTCTAAAGGGGGTGGTAAATGGCGCGTGCAGGTGCGTGTAGGTGCGTCGTTAGAGAAAAAGGTTTGTGAATACCTCAACCAGGAGCCGGGCCGCAAAAGTAAGAGTAGCACCGTACTACTACTCTCAGCGCGGGCTTTCCAACGATACTACTCATTTATTGCCAGGGCCAAAATTGGCTGCGTTGCTAACAGGCCAAAAATCTTAACTATAGTAAATACCTTAAAATCTACACCACCTACCTAAGACCTCTTAGCGGAGATGTGTCTTACAGTATTATAATTAGCTAGAATTATAATGGGTGAAAGAGTACTCGAGGGATAATCGAAGCTAGTAGATCTAAGCACTAAAACTAGGTGTACTTAGAAGTAAGTGAAAAAAACAACGATGTGAGCAGGGTTCGAACCTACGCGGACGAATCCATGAGATAGCAAACTTGCAAGTTCAAGTCTCACGCCTTAACCACTCGGCCATCACACCAGATAATATCAATTGAGAAGCTGTAAATTGGTTATACTTATGAAAATTTTGACTAGTGAGATTTCAGATACTTTGATTAATTGCACAGCTGATGATGTACCTACCTATCTTAGTACCGTATTACTCTAAATTGTCATTACGATCCACTTAGTCTAATGCTATAGCGAGAATACCCGCTTCCGGTGCTTAGCTTAGGACTTACACCTACGTGGAGGAGGTTTTAGGCTACTTATGTTGGTGACCGTTCTATACCCGCTTGGTTGGAGGCAAAGTGATTTGCAATCTGCTAATTACGGTGCTACTAGGTATGCTAAGGTGCCACCTATCCTGCAAAATGGTTTATACACACGGCGGGACCGACCTTACATATATATTATATATATTAGATGTTTATAAATGTCTATATATACCTCTACCTATAAATATCTACCTTATATATGTCTATATATATCTTATATAAACTATTTTATAAAGTACGTGGGTGCTATGCTGAGGTGTGCTGGTGTGTCTAAGTGTACGGCAGCTGAAAGCCGTCTTGATTCCTATGGAACAATAATGATCCTCCCTAGTCTCTAGATATACATGGATTGGTGATAAATGAGTCGTGTTATAGCAGTCGAAGAAATAGTCATCACTCCGTATCCCAGCTATCAAAGTTCCGAATCAAGTCGTAGTAAACCCGAATACCCTCCAAATGCGCCGTCATCTCCATTCGCTCATCGATAGCATGCGTATTCAGTCTTGTCCCGTCTCTTGCTGGTGTGTACCGGTAAATGTTCCGAGTGATGTCCCAGTAGTGCACTGTGTCGGTATTACCCGTCATGATGTTGCCCACCGGCACAACGGTCTTTCCACGGCCGGCATCCGTGGTCTCGAACACTTGGCGGAGCGTGCCGCTGAAGGCCTGCCACACGCTGTTGCTGCCGGTAGGTGTTAAGGGGGCCGGTGGCAAGGTCTGTAGGGGTTTCACGGAGAGGACACCCCCGGAAGAGGTGCCCTCGTCCTTATCGCCAACCGAAACCTTCCTGAATTCAAGGTTGTACTTCTTGGCGATGGGGGTGAGCGCATCATATATGTGCTGGTCGACGGCGTCGATGGACTCGTGCATCATCACCCGGTGGTTGATCATCAGGCGGACGGTCTCGGGAAGAGCGTTCACCTTGATCCCACCGCTGACGACATCGACGGCCTGGCTGGTCTGCACCAACCACTGCTCCTCTCCGAGCTCTTCAGCAAGTTCCCGGGAGATTTCCTCTTGGCCAGAGTGTAGAATGTCATGCACCCACGGGTCGACGTGCTTGGGCGAGTATGCTGCCCGGCATTCTAGGACTCTCCGGAAGGGGCTAGACTCTGTCAGTCGCGGCTGGTAGTTTGCGTTCTCTAAAGCCAGCGTGACATCAGCCATGATGCCGATGCCGGTGTGGGGCGGCGGTCGAGAGCTGTGACCGCCGCGCACCTTGAGCTCCAACTCGACGTCGTAGTATCCTTTCTCTCCCACGCCTGGATAAGCGTACATGACGTCGCCGAGTGACTGAACGCCCATACCACCTTCGTCCATGGCAAACAGGAAAGAGCCTTCGCCCCATTCCTGGACAAGCGCCTGACTCAGCTTTGTGGCACCTCGCTTGCCTCCTGTCTCTTCGTCGAACCCGAAGGAAAGGACAACGGTGCGACGTGGTGCGAAGGACTGGGATAGAAGCGACTCTATGGCGGAGAGAATGCCTATCAGGACATTCTTGCAGTCGGACGATCCGCGGCCCCAAACAAAAGAGCCGTCACAATGACCAGCGTAGGGAGGATAAGTCCAGCCGGATGAGCCATCGGCCGGGACGACGTCTTGATGCGCCATAAACAAAATCGGCTTCAACGAGGGCTCACTGCCATTCAGGGTGTATAAGAGACCGTAGCGGTTCACCTTTCGAAGATGCATCTTGGAGTGTCTATATCAAATGGATCAGCAAGGGAGGAATGGACGGCTACTGGGAAGATGCGTACATGAGAGGAAACAGTTCCGCCAAGACGCTGTGAAAGTCGCCGAAAGTGGCCCATCGCGGGTCATCGTCGACGCTGCCGTTATCGTCGTAGCTCTCTGTTGGCACTTGCACAGCCGAGGACAGGCGTTTGACCTGCAGATCCCGCTGCCTTGACTCCATGAGATGCTCACTAGGTCGGAGACCGTCATTGCGTGGGACGACGACGTCGGGCAGGGGACACCAGTCGACAGCACCAGATCCGGTCCGGTTCTCGTTGGCCCAGCCGTCCAGAAAGCGGCTCAGTCGTGATGGCAGCGGGCACATACGGTACAGCGGCACCAAGCACAACAGAGCTAGCAGGTACAGGAAACCTAGACGCGGCATGCTCCGCCTGCTTGGCGGGTTCGCTATGACAAACCCGGGGTCGGCTACCGACTGCGCCATCTTTCCCATGGTCAGAACTCGTTGAGGCTTGCGATAAGCCGAAATGGCTCGCACATGTATGGGGTTCGTGGTGTGATGATTATATCCACGGATATGTCCACCGAACACGAGAGTCGGGTCCTTGGACTTGCTCTTGCCTAAATAGGTAGGAAGGCAAAGGGGAAGAGAGCGAGCCAATCACGGAGAGCTTGAGCGCTGCCGAGCAACTTTCCTAAAATGGTAAGCGCCTTGCAATCCCATAGCTGATGATCTGTTGATTGTGGATTGCTGACCCCAGCAAAGTACTAACGCTCGCTCTGAAGGTCACGATTTCAAGCGTGCGATAATAGAACAATGGCCGTTCCTCTTCGGGGCACTTGGGGACCTTGTATGGTTTGCTCCATCCTCAGCCATAGCCAGAGTTCTTGCAAGACTACCACTCGTTCTCAGCATGGACTTGTCGATTTTGCAGATCCCTCTGGACGCCTTTGGGGTTTCTCAAGTGCCAACCGACAGAGAGTCGTCTAGGAGGTACGTTGTCTAGGACAGTGTTCGAACGGCACCAGACACTGCTAACCATGTTGTCAGGGTGTTATGGCAGGATCGCACCAGGGATGCATCGCGACTGGTTGCAGAGGGAAATTTCCACCTCGCATGCATAGTGCTGTCCCTTACCTTCCTCTTGGCCCGTCTCCTCAGAGCGTATGTTGCTCGGCGGCGAAGGGACGGACTTGAGATTCTCGGGCAGACACCGAAGTGGGCGACTGAGAGCAATGCGACCCCTTATGCGTTTGCCCTCCTGCACATCGGGGCAGCTGCAGCGGCCCTGTCCCTTTCTCTCGAACTGGGCATCCGAAAGGGAGTTTGGAAAGAGGCAGCGGCTTTGGGCTACCTGTTCATTCTGGACATCCTGCGGTTTGCCACTAGAGACGGTAAATGGAGGTCAGCAATCAACCGCAATGTCAACGCCATCGCCTTCGCAATCACCTGGCTAGAAGTTGTGCAGTTGCTCTTACCTCTTGCTGTCATTGGCCCACGCGAATATCCGTCGACCATCGAGAGTGTCAAGCTCTTCTGCCTCGTCTCTATTCTTTTCATTGCCTCTATATCACCTCATCCTCCGCCAGAGAGAGAGGACGCTATAGAGGATGCAAATCTCTCGGGGACCGGCCCGCTCTCACCAGAGCAGACAAGCTCTTGGTTCTCCAGCTATATATCGTATGGATGGCTTACCTACCTCATATTCAGAGGCTTCTCTAGCGACTTGTCCCTGGATGACCTTCCTCCACTGCCATCATACGACGCACCGATGCTGTGGCTGACCCGAGTCGTCGCGGCTCGGATGCGCGTGGGAAAGACAATGCATGCTCTTTTGACGATCTTCAGGCAAAACATCAAAACCATTGTGTTCTGGGCTGTCCTGACCGCCACGGTCGAGTACGTCGCTGCCTTCGCCATGTTCAACCTCCTAGCTTACCTGGAGAACCCGGATTCAGATAGGAGTGTGGTCCACCCGCTTGTGTGGATTGCCCTTCTCTTTCTCGGTCCGATGGCCCGCTCCATCTGCTACCAGCGGGCTATCTTTTGGAGCACTAGACTGCTTGTGCGAGTGAAGGTGACCATCATACAGGATGTATTCCAGAGGATGCTGTGGGCGCGTGTCGACAACAGTCTACAAATGCACGCGGGTACGGTCCATCTTTATGAATCGCAAGATCTTCACATGGCGGAGGAGACACCTCTGGACTGCCCGCCGGGGTCCGGGTCTACATCCATCAAGACCGAGAGCCTGGTTTCCTACGACGCGGACGCCATTTCCAGCGCGTCCGATATGTTCTACGCATTCACGGCGAGCGCCGTGTCGACAGCCATAGCCATGACGTTTCTGTACCAGCTACTCGGCTGGCCGTCACTTCTCGGCATTATAGTGCTCCTCGCTTTGACCCCGTTTCCCGCCTTGTTCTCCCAGAGGCTTTCCCGCCTTCACAGTCATGTCATGGAAACTACCGACGCCAGACTGTCGAGAATCTCCGAGTACTTGAACTCCATCCGCACACTGAAATACTTTGCGTGGGAGTCCGTCGTCTCAGATTCCATCAATAGCATTCGACTTACCGAGCAGCAGCGGATCTGGAAGCGCAATTTGACTTCCATGCTCGTCTCGATGACGGGCGACATGCTTTCCCTCGTCAGCCTTCTCGCCATGTTCTCGTCGCTTGTCCTCTTCACAGACAAGCCCCTGCGTGCTCCCATGGCGTTCACGGCGCTGGCCATCACGGAGACCCTGCGGACGCAGTACGTCTGGCTTGCCAAGGTCGCGCAATGGGTGGCCCAGGGGCGTGAGTCTGTCCGGCGCGTGGACAGATTTTTCGATGCGACAGTGGAAAAGAACCACCATCCCGACGGACCTCCTGCCTTCGTAAACGCCACCTTTCGCCTGTCGCCCACTGCCGAGTTTCGTCTCCGCAACCTTTCCATCTCGTTCAAAGAAAAGGCTCTCAACGTCATCACGGGGCCCACGGGGAGCGGCAAGTCTTCCATTCTCCTCTCCCTACTTGGTGAGACGATTCATGAGTTCGGAAGCGCCACCTGCCCCCCGGACGT